ACAGGACTTGATGTCTGATTTTTGATCTGAGTTGCTTCTATTTTGTCTTTGGTGCACCTTATATTCTGTTGTTATTTAATTTTTGACTAAGTTGATTGCTGAAAAGGAAGAGTTGAAAATAATAGATTGAACTTGTCTTCTTTGTTAACAGAATGGGTCGATCTGTTTTCAATCGATTTATTAAATCGTGAAAAGCAAATAATTTATATTTATTCTGAAATATGAATTGTAAAAAAAACATTTTATTTATTTCAAATTTCAATTACTGATCATTGAATTGTCTCATAAATTAAACTAAAAGTAAATGTCAATTCAAATCTTTAGTCAGTAATCCACGCTGAAATTTTCAAGACGATAAACAATGGTCTATAAAAGTTAATATTTCTGTAATAAGTAATAATAAGACATGTAAGAAAAGATTATTCATGCAAAAGTAGGCTCAACAGAAAGTATTTGAATTTATGCTGTACGGTCAGCAATTTTCGAAGCACTGATATATGATGATGAGTCGAGGTTCTCGTCATTTAGTATTAATTTTTGATGAAACTTGGCTCAATAGAATAGATTGCTAATTATTTTGACATAGGTCAAATGAGAACCATGATTTTGTATTAAAAGATGTTAGTTCTAAAGTAGATAAAACAAGCTGCACAAACATTTTTTTGTCTTGAGTGAGTAAACAACTATCACATGCTATTGTGTGTTTTTCGTTTTATAATGTACATAGCCATTTTTTTCTCGTTCTCTCATTCTAATTGACTATATATAATACCAAATAAGCCGTGAAAACATCATGCACGATGAGTTACGCAGATTACTAGCTTAAAATAGGGGGGGGGGGGGGTAGTTTTAAAATACATGCTTCTCTTTTTGTTTTCTTTTTTGAGTAAAATAGTAAGTGGAAGAACTAACAAAGCAATCGAAGAAGAATTGAAATATGCAATTTCTGTTTCTTGCGAAATAATATGATGGCAAGATTTTGAGTTAAAATAACTAGGATGGATTTTCATAGAGAACTGTTGTATGCTTGAAGACAATTAGATAAAGTCAAATATTTTCAACTAGAAAGCTTATTTTAAACTCAAAATAAAGTTCTTGTTGATGATAACACAAGCTAAAATTATATTTAAAACATGCAGGGATTCAATCACTTCCAATTTAGAAATAAACAACGATGTCGAGTATGAAGTTATCCGATAATACCATTGAACCATGTTGAAACTGCTCGTGATGGTACAGAATTACTCTGATTGTATTAGACAGATTCTGTAGAAACTCAGATGTTCGTCATAAATGAAAGTTATCACGAATTGAATAGATGACGTTGAGTTTATGATAAAAAAGATTCGTTGCCCACGATTGACATAGATACTCGGTCTTGTTCTTAGAGATTCAAAAAGATTTTGTTTACGATACGCATAATTTATTAGAATAAAAGATAATGAAAAAAGACAAAAACAATAAAAAGAGAAAAAAGCTGACAATATGATAGGAACAAAAAACTCAACTGGTTATGAATATGAAAAAACACTAGCTAGTGGATTATGCTGGTTTATGTTGTTAGTAGGTAATAGCAATGTTCTATTTTCATCGTGATTTTGTGTTCGTGGCATATATCCTACAAAGAAAAAAGTACTGA